GGCAAACATTTCAGGAATTTTTGAAGTTGTTATCTGGTTGAATTCTACAGGATTTCCGGGAGACATCTGCATCAGGTTCTTTCACCTGTAAATAAAGCCATTGTGATGCCAAACACCCTCATGGAAGAAGAAAGCCATCATGCTTACAACTGTGACAATGAGCGCTTATCAGAATCAACAAAACTCTAGATTTTCAAAAGTATGTGAAGTTCACAGCACCACTGTTGCAGTAAAGTTGCACAATGTTCTTGAATGAATAATTTATTAGATGCATGCTGGCCTATTATCATAGGGACATCAACTTTACATTTTCACGCCCCTAAACATGATGCCAAAAAACACAACTGTGACTGGTTGCTTTACATGTCGGTCAGGTGGCCTCTTTGGCGGTCCTTGGCCAACAAATGCTGCTAGGGAGTCCAGACCTTCAGCTGCCAGTTTGACTGAGGTCTACTAGTGAATCATGATTTGTTTGTGAAAACATTCAACTGCATATTCCATACATAAATTGGTGAATGAGACCCACTGTTCTGTCAGAAGCAGTGAAAAGAGGACTAAATTCGGTAAAAGCCAGACAACAACTTACCTAGCCTTTGCAACTTTCCTTCCGACATAAGAAATATTTTGCAAGTATTAAACTACTTGCATCATTTTATAAAATAAGAGAAGGGAAGAGAACAAGAGAGCGGAGGGCCCAGTGGAAGAGTAGATTGATCAGGGCTTGTAATGGGGTAGTGATAACCTTGTGTAATGATATGTTGCTGTGCTTGTGATTCCTGTGCTGGCCGTGGCCGCCGTGCATGATGGATCACAATGGCGAGCTGATAGTGCCATTACTCAGTGACACGCACACCTGCCTGACACCCATCCCCTCTGGACACAGCAGCCCCCCACAACCCGGTCTGCTGAGACACTCCACTGGAAATTCTGCAGTCCAGCAAATCTCGCAAAGTTCCCAGCTACCTCCCTGTGCCTCTTTTGTAGGACGTTTCCATTTTACTTTCTCTTTACCTAATGTTTCCTTTAGTTACAAGTGCTCTGTTTCTGTCTATTGAGAGTTTGGGTATTTGACCTTTGGATTTTCAAAGTAAACTTTAAAGTGTTTCTCTTACAGCATATAAGTATTAAAAAAATTAGATTCTAAACAAAAGTAATCATATTTGATTATTCAGTGACTTAATAAGCTTTTTCTTGTTGTGAATTACAGTACAGTAACATGAGTAGCACTAGAATAGAAAACACTCCCATGTGACCCTGGTGTCTCCAGAGACTGTCACTATCTTCCTGAATTCTCTGATTGAATTTTTCACCATCGTATTTCAAACATCCAAAACTGCAAAAAAATAAAAATCACCACTTGCTACCACGGAAACCAAGCCCTACGGCAGATTCATGTCCAAATGACATGCTGCTCAAAACTGCACCATAATCCACACACGCTAATGCTAAAACTGATTTTGTGGTAATGTTTTTTGCATTACACTGCCTTGCTCACATAACATTAAAATTATATATATTTACATTTAGATTACATTTGTCACCATCTATTGGTCAAGTTCATCTTTAGAAACACAGTTTAAATTAATAATTTAATAACACTGTTAAATGTAATCTTTAGTAAATCTCAAAAATGGATATTCTTTTTTCATAAATTAAATTCACATCTAGATAACATTAGCCCTCATCTATCAAGTTCATGTTTAAAAACACAAATTAATTAGTTATCTCAAAAACTAATACCCATTTTTTATACAGTAAATTAACCACTGTATTTTTTTCATAATGTAAATGAAACTCACATTGACATTTAAAACAATTCATTTAGATTGACTTTTTTTATTATTATTATTTATTTATTTATCAACCATAACATCATTGTCTTACTGAGGCTAGAATTTTGACGAGAATTTTTAAAATTTTGTTATTATCCATAATATCTAAATAATTTAAAAATGACCTCACAGCAAAATTGACAGCCAGGTTTCTCTGTGGTCTGTAGTTCAGAGGACCCTCATGACAGAACCGCAGCGATGGGCCTTTTACTGTCATGCCATGCACCCCACTAGAGCTCCAGTGTCAGGCTAGCAAACATGTCAACCCTCCTGATAACTGCACCCTACTAGCCACCCAAACCGCAGCGGCCCCTAGCCTATCAATCACGGCGGGCCGGCACAGAGAACCTGCCTCCCCTGCCACTGGATGATGGAGGAGGGGGAACTGGAGCTCCATGCATATCAGCCGCTGCATTTGTAGCCCTCCAGGAGAAGAGCAGGTGAAGGGCTGAGAGAAAGAGTGAGGGTGCACATGGGAGTGATAAAACACTTCCCTCTGCTCCATCCTTTCATGCAGATGTTTCCGTAATTGTTTTGTCTGTCTATTCATGTCAGAGATCACATCACTTGAAAATATTGTCTTTCTTCGGAGAATGTCGGGTTTACAGAATTATTTTATTCAAATGAATTTTGAGACATTTTATGGCCAACTATAAGAAAGCAACATATACCACTTATAAAACACTTTATATGTGATATACATCACATTTGCCAATTTGTAAATCTTAAATATTTTATTACATCAGCTTCAGAGATGAGATCTATACACACCTTGCTACTGAAAACGGTGACCAATTTTGCCATGGTACTGTAGGCACTGTAGTACAGTAAATCTACACTATTTCACTTTATTACCTTTTACCACTTACTTATCACTTACAAAAGGTCATATTGTGTAAAAACATTGTAGGAGCAACCTTTACATATCTACCTAATTTATAATCAAATTAATCCTTTAATTGTTTAATTGGTCATTTTTAACACAAATTGTGTTACATTAAAAATATATACATCATAAACTCTTGGATCACTTTTTACATTTTTTTTTTACCCAATTTTACCCATATTTTTTTTCTTTGTACCCAATAGGTCCAAACTAGCAAATTACTGTATATTCACACATTTTGCTATTTTCCCTTTGACTTTCAAACACGCCTCTTAAGAAAATAGGAAATTGACTCCAACATTTTATTTAGATGTAGGTTATGTGTATTTAATTAGATTTGTGCTCACACATTTCATAAACTAAACATTAATCTAAATAAAATGGAGTCCATTGAATTGTACTAATTTGTTATATGTGTATTTCAAGTGAAATACTCTCTTATCAATTCCTGCATACTTTGAAGGTAACTGTAATAAAAACCATTGACAATATAATTTAACAGCCGGATTCTCCACCAAAATAGCTTCACTTAACTAGACGTCTTATTTCTAAATAAATGTCAAAATATTGTGCACATCCCTCTTGCTTTCTCTCTGGCAGTGTTAAGCTCGCAGCAAGCCAGACGAAAGGAGGATTACACTTTATTGAGGGAAAGCTGGGAAAATTACTCAGCGGAAAAGAAAACTGCTGGCATGTCATCAAAAACTCATCCAGAAGAATTACCATATGACTCTTTACCACTGACTGCCAAGAGAGGAAAAAAAGGCTTGACTGTAAAACCGTAGGAGTGTTTTGCATGTCTAAAGGCACACGCTACAACTGCCAGTGTTAGGAAGGTTACCTTGGAAATGTAATAGGTTACAGATTACAAGTTACCCCATTTAAAATTTTATAAGTAGTGTAACTATTTCAATTACTTTATTAAAGTAATGTAACGGATTACATTATTTTTTATTACATTTATAAATGTCTAATTAATGTTTTCAACTGTTAATCATTTTCAAACATTTAAACCAGGCCGGGTTAACCTTACAGTATACTCAACACTGATTACTGTCAGACTTTCAAAATCCTCAAAATTCAACTTGAATTAAGATTATAAAGATTTAATTTTAAAGCACAGCCACCACAAAGTCAGACTTTAGCACCTCTTTTTACTTTGAGATCGTTCTGAGGTTAAATACAGATTTCATACATAAATCATAACAAGATATAGTTTAATAGCTATGATACTGTTTTTAAATCAAATCTTTGCAAAGCAAATATGTCAGGAAACACTGGCATCTAACAATGCCTTGGAAAAAAAAGTTAATCTTAAAAAATAAAACTATCGAATAAAGTTATCGAATAAGCATGTGTCCTAAACTCCTTAAACAATGGTGTCTCATATTTTAGTCACTGTAATTTAATGACACTTTTTTCAGTAACTGTAACAGATTACAGTTACATTTATTTTGTAATTAAATTACATAACTCGGTTACATGTAACTAGTTACTCCCCAACACTGACAACTGCGCAGCTACATCAATCACTTGAATAAGCATGCATTAGTATGCTTGTTTTAATCTTGGATGTCTCCGTGTTATTTCCAGCACCTATTGTGAAAATGTCAAGTGGTGAAATTGAACCGGGTTGCAGATATCTGTGGCTGTCACAAATATGTCTTAACAGGTTCTGACTGTTTAAAGAGATTCCAGTGAGAGCCGTTTACCATTTTGCCTACTGACTGCTCAAATTATAACTGTCAGTTTAACTAAAATATTATTTGACTTACTTGGATGACTTTGAAAGTGCATGTCAGGGTTGACGTTGCTCTTAATATCAAAACGATATCTATTTAAGCTTTTATAATGGGAAAGGTGATAAAAGGAAGTGACAATTGTCAAGGTACCTGTAAATGCAATTCTCAAAGACTAGAAATGCACTTTGATGTGAAGACTGTCGGCACAATTTTGGTGTTAAGACTATTAGCTTGTCTCAGTAGTTTTGAATGTGCTTTCTGTTTATGAGTAGTGTAACATTAGTGAATATTTTTGAAACAGATGTCTGTTGATTGGCTTTGTTGCGGAAACTAACATATGACTGCAGAGAAATTCAAAAAGAGAGAATAGCATGACACAAATTGAAGTTTAGTGGCTAATTAGCTTTAAATGGGCCACTTAATTGGTCTCAAATGCAATGAGAAAAACATCCATATTTCACTTTGTCTTCATTAACGCACTGGAAAGTGTTCATTTGATTTATAATAATGAAGTTAAATAGCAGATATTTATTTCTTGGCCTAAAACATTTTACTGAAGCATTTAACAAGATAAACTGAGGAAACAAACATGTAAATATTGAAATGAAATGTTGCCATGTTGAGCACACGGCTCACTGATGAGACTCTACATTCTCATTAAGCCATTAAAACCCTCACAGAATGCGCAGCTTTTTAGCCTGTCGTATGTCTTTTACCATATAAAGGTTCTGGAACTTGATGCTAGACCAAAAAATGCAATTATATGAACCCGACAAAAAAAATTGGTCATAATAAGAGATCCAGTGGTATATGTTCAAGAGGAAAGAGTTTGAGTCACGGAACAGCATTGAGCTGTGGAAGGATCACAGACCAGCCCTCTTGAAGATGGCACCTGGGGGATTCTGGCCATATGTTTAAGCTTCGTCTTGTCCTACAAAGTTAGTGCGCCCTTCATCATGCTTCGTCAAAGAGGAGCTTGGCTGTGACATAGAGAATATGGGCTAGTGGCGAGAGACGAGGTATCAGTGAGGTATCACTTCTGGCTGCTTTTAAACGGGGCCGACCGCTGCACTGATTATGGCATAATTAAAGCAGTAAAGCCGGGAGATTATCCACCTGGTTATGGGCTCAAGTCTCTTCACTAATAGGGCAAATGAGCAGCTCTAGCTTGCAGGTTCGGGCCAGCCGCACGGCCGATTAATGCAGTTTATTGGGATCTGTTAAAAGCATTAAGTGAAGACAAGAGCAGTAATTCGTCATGTTTAAAGGCAGGGAAATTAAATCATAGCAGAGGGAAATGAGCATAGATGAAGCAAAAATGCTCTTTTAGAGGTTACCTGTTTGCAAGCTGTGTACTTTCACGCACTGCACACCTCCCCTCCACGAGTCTCCTGGTGGACCACTTTCATTCTCCTTTAAGTGGGTAAATTGGAAATAATTGCCTCAACCGTAAACAGAATTTGATTAAAGGACAAAAGATACCAGTGAGAGCATATGCGAGGGAATTAAATTGGATTTGCGTAACTGCTAAGTGTGGCAGGAGCCGCAAACCCACTTTCAGCACTGCTGGAATCCATGTCCATGGGAAAGTTTTTAAGCTGGATTTTAACTCAATTCATTTTTTTTTTAATTATGTTATTTATTTTGTTATTACTTTTACAACATTTAAAATATTCTATATATCATCACCCACATTTAACATTCTAAAATGTGTCTTTACGTTCTTTTTTTACCTGTGCACTACAGGTGCTTTTTAACATGATAATAATTTCATAATAATAATGTCCACAATGTTCTCCTTGTTTCTAAGCATTCTAGTAACTCAATTAAGCACCAGCAACAATTCTAATCTTCAATCAAATGTCATTACTGCCTCACTAAATGAGCAAAAAGTTCTCCAAGAATATCTTTTTCCCTTTCTTCTGAAGGTAGACAGTTACCAGGCAGCTAAAATTTTGGAAATCCACGAAACTACGATGGAAACCATTTACAAGCTTTTCATTTGCATAAACATGCAGACTTGTCAAAAAAAATGCTCGACTTCAACCACAAACATTCTGAAAACAATGCTACATTTTTGATGTGAAGACATTTTTTAACATAATAGTAAAATTCAAAAAGACTGCCCTGTCATAACTCAAATAAACAGATATGATAAACAGGGAATTTGAAATGCATACAAATGCTACAGACAAAACATGTCATGAGAATACCTCTGTGTCAGCGTTTATAGAACTTTAGCAACCAAAACTATAACATTTTAAATTAGTTTTTTCACACACACACAGTTATAGAGGCAGTAGTTTTATACTGCAGAAAAAACAACTAGGTTTTGAAAATGTTTTGAAGAGTAGAAGGACCAAATTTAGGCACATGCAGTGTGTCATTGTGAAAGCTTGCATATTTTCACTTTAATTAATTTTCCAAGGACAAAAGACAGGAGTTTTGCAAGACTCCATAAATTATTAGTGGGACCATCCTTTTATTAAACAACAGTTTTTGCTTGTTCTGAATTGCATGGAGGTTTTTTTTTTTTTGCAAAGGCGCTTGTGAAAAAAATTTACCATTTCATGGTAGAGGGGGCCACCTGCTGGTCATATTAAACAACAGATTTTCCAAAGAGTTCTTCATTTTCATTCAAGAATACGTGTTTACTTATATTGTGTTTTATATCTAGGTGACTTATGTGCCATGCATATTAAATGCATAAGCACATAAAAAAAACAAATCATGTCAATTGTCATTCAGTGGTTCAAAACTTTGTAACTGTTAACTGATAGTCTAACTCTAATGAAGATTTAAAATACCCCTATAGACACATCTGAGCTGTTTGTTTTTGTGTATGTATATGCGCAGTAAATGCATGTGTGTTTCTCAGCATTCGTTTCTCTCCACCTACATTTGTGAACTAAAACAAAGAGGAGGTAACTTAGTGGAAAGTGATGAATAGGTTTGCTGGCGCCATCACTCGTACAATGAAGGTGCCAGGGCAGGGTGCAGAAATGTTCAAAGTCATTGTTCCCCTGGAGACGGGTCAGCGTATTGGTCAAAGCCTGATGCGACTCTACTGCTTTATCCTCATGTGCACCCAACCACCTCCACCCAGAGTAAAGCACTGAGGATTCTCACATTTATTTCCAGTAAAATCTCCCTCCTAACTGCAGCGTATGCACAAACATCTCCTTGATGTTTGCAATGTGTCCTCTGATGTTTACCTGCATAAAGAATGCCTTTGGTGTGCCTTTGTAGAAGAGATCATGTGTGTAATGTTATTCTGAATCTGGTATATCAGTAAAGCGATAAAGTATCATGACGTGGTCCCATGCACCGTGTACATTTAACATGGTTGGTCATTTAAAGACACTTGACTGGGTAAAAGCATGTAAAATAACACAAACAGCCTGGTCTTAAACCATAACACACCGGCAATAGTGAAACTGTGCTATTTTTATCTTAAAGATCTATTTATGATCCTTAAAATATACCTTTTTGGTGTAACCTAGCCAAGTTGAATTGGTCTTTGAATTGAATAAATAATGTTAATTGAGATATAACCAAATTAAGCACATTTTAATACTACATGATAAATGTTCTTACAGTCAATCATTTATTCTGTCAAAACCTATTTTCAGCTATTTTAATCAGTGGATGTATAAATCATTTGTATGATATATGCATCCATCATATATAATTTTATATAGAAAACTATAACAGCTGTATATAACAGTTAATATTTATATAATAAATAATATTTAGATATAAAAATAATTAAAATATATTTACAATATGTAAACATGTGTTGTTATCATTGTTAAAACAATTTATTGAATAATTATTTACATTAAGGATTCATATATCCATTTAAAAATGCACAATATTGTGTAAAAAGAACTGCATAATATAAATCTTCAATAAAGCAAAATGTAATTGAAACAACGTTATAATATAATATCGTCAGATTTACTAAGATTCACAGAATTTTTATACCATTTAAGTCAGTTGAGTGGTCTAGTTATCGATAACATTCAGTCGTCATACTAATCTTTATGAATTTTGTCTCACTTGAAAAGTTGAACGTGAGGAACAGAGAGCCGGAGTGAAACTGTCAAAGACACGCCAAGCGCCCTGAGAATCCCCACGCAAGGCACACCTTATTAAACACTGCCTGATAGGGTCAATAGCCCGCTCTCCCAACACCACCCTAGAACAATTTCAATTTTAATAGCTTTTACTATGTATTTCACAGGCAAGCCCCCATTGAAATTGAGCCATCAAACAGTCCCGCCGACAGATTCAAGCCCGGGAGCTTTGGCGTAATTATCCCAGCGGACGCGCGCCTGTGTAAGGTAGTTCAACCTCGTTCATCATCTCCAGCAGGCCCCGGACTCTGCCTGCTAATTTCATCCCCAGGATTAGCTTTGCTCACTTGTCTATCTTGTTATATTTCTTGAGGGTGAAATATCGCCTTCCACCTTTAATAAGGCTGAGCGGGGCCACGCACCGTTTCCGGCGCGCGGCATACGCGCGGAAAAAGGGGCAGAAGGGGAGCAAAACTTTGCCGCGCGCTCTTCTGGGGAGTGACCGGAGAGAAAGAGTGAAGGTGAAAGCGTATGCCTGCGATACCTGCAGGGCAATGCAAGCTGTTTGCTCTCCGAATAGAAAAGAAAAAGAGGTGTGTGGGAGCTCTGGGCCGTGCGCGCTGATACACCTCCAGAGAATGCTCGTGCGCGCCGAAATTAGCAGACGCTAGCGAGGCGGAGAACGAGCGTGACATCTTATTAAACTTGTGGATCAAATCCGCGTATCCTCAGATCATTTGCCATTCGTTTGTCACCTTCACCCTCCACCCCTCGCGCCCTGCGCTTAATTACAATGTATTGTGTTTAAAGGGGCAATTAAAGCCATCACACCAATGGCGTGTTGGACTTTAATTACCCATTGACAATAAGGGTGAATGCTGCTGTGTACTTGTAATATACAGTGCACCAATTTACGTTTATGTTTGCTCTTTTTTTTAAACATGAGTTACAAATAACTGGTAACTTGCATTAATGAGACAATAATAAAGGCATTATTAGAAAATATATAATGCAGATCAATAGTTAATGCACATTTAAATCTGTTAAACATCATCATGTTTATTATTACATAGCAGTGGTTTTGGGCCCACGTTGTCTAACACAATTTTATTTCTTCCAGTATTTATGTTTTTAATCTTTTTTTATAAACCGAAACTGGGAAACAAATAAAACTATTATGTAGGATTATTTTAATTTATTAATAACAATATTAATTGTATTAAAAATAATATATTCATTTGAATAATTTTAAGTCATGCATCCCCTTTGGAGGTTTTCTGAGGCCCACTATTACTTTGCATACTGTATTATTCCATTTTGTTATGGCAGTGACCACTTATTTCAATGAATCGTGTCTCTGCAGGCAAAAGTGAACTTAGTTTAACCTTAAAATAGGTGGACCGTATTATCAAATACATGCCTGACAGTCCAGGCCAAAAGCTTGAGGAAAAAACCTAGACCTAATTACATTCGGATCACAGTGACATGAAGTATTTCAAAACACTGCTAGCTATTATTCTGTTTCTGCTCACCTTGAAATATTCAAGAGCTCACATATCACTCATTCATCGGGCAGAAAAATTGAAAAGAGAGACGGCAAAATATAATTAACCTTGTTAGAGCCAGGTCAAACAACCGATTGTTATTCGTTTCATATGACAGCGCTTTGAGGCAATATTTTCCCAGGGAGACTCACGGCATACGACATAAATTGAGATAAAAATGAAAACAAGAAACCTGAATTAATACTACTGTACTGTATCAAATAAAAAGCTTCTTGGCACCTGTGAGATACCCTTAAGCAGTTTAGAGGTAAATCGCTATTGAACCAGATCCTTTTAGCTACTAGAGCTTATTGCTTCAGACTTTCATCACAGAGGCCGGCTAACATTTGATACTTCATCATCTACCCGTGGCCTCACAGGAGCCACTGAGTGCACCTGACACACACACTGCTTACAGACACAATATCTCAGTGTTAAAATCAAGTGAATTTATAACAATATTAATATTTTGATATTTAGATATAAGATTCTTTATACACAGCAATTAACAATTGTAGGATTGTAAATGTGCACTGACTTATTGTGTTGCTTTAACAAGGAATCGCAAAAGTCATGAAAATACATCATTTATAATCACAATGTACCCGATCATTAGGTTCTGTAAAATACTTTTGCTCATTTGTTGGATCAATTCATCAATGTTATTCATTTAAATTTATGACCATATTTTAAATAAATGAATGAGCAAGTACAAACTAAGTGCATGATCAGACGGTGTTATTGAACTGTCTCTCTGGTGGTCCAGACCTGATCTGGTCTTGGTGTTTCCTGCTTAATTAAGAGTCAGCTGTCACATTGTTCATTACTTCTGCAACGCTCTTGTGAGTGAATTGCCTCCGTCCATTAATATTTACAGCCTAATATCTGCAACCCTGAGAAGCCACAGCACTCAAAATGTCAGATAATTAAAAGAATAATTATGAATGGTCAGCAAGGTATGAGCCATATTTCATAGATGATTGTGTTTTTATATCCCATTTTTCATGGTTTAAATGTATTTTGTATGCAGATAAGCACAGGACACTTTTTAATTAACCGTGAGGGGCATTATGAGCAACTTTGTTGTAAAAATAATTTTTGTATTTATCATGCATATAAACCAGGTAGAATTATGGGTTAAAATAAAGCAATATTTGTATACAATATTTTATAGTATTATCATAATTTAATTATTTACTATCATAATTTATAAATAATAATGACATGCATTTTATGTTTCCTCTTTATAGTTTTACTCACTCAATTAATTTTCAGAAAAAAATGGAAATGAGTTTTGTGACGCTCTTGATGCCACATAGTAAGTGCAGGCCCATGAGATCATCATCTCATCATATATTCTTATATTACACAAATGTAATCCATCTTAAAGATGATTCCGCTAGCACCCAGTACACTCTGCTCCAGCCCCCAACCCTCCATACTATCCTATACAATGTGCCACACTTCCCCTCTCACATAAAGACGGTCATTAATTGAATCACATAATTTTCCTCCCTGCCTCCCACAAAAGGCCATTTGCAACTTCAGGTGTGGCGGGATAATGGGGGATGATATTTCTATCCAACAATTCCAGGGGCAGACTCTGATCATTTTCTCTTCTGAAGGTTAAACTTAGATAACCTGCCTTTGGCATTTAATCAGCTACTTGTTAAACACTCTTTCGGTAATAAAATAATTTACAATTTTATTGCTTCTCAAATAAGGCTCTTTTTAAATGGATTTAATGACTTTGTTAAGGCTTTGCTGAACGCATCCCTAGTTAGGCTAGTGTGTAAAAGCCTAATGGTAATGATATGCTTTACAGCTTGCAAAATCGCAATGATATTCATTAAAATGACTTTGGTAATCACTGTGCGTAAATTAGAAATACCGGTCCCATCAGCAGGCATTTAAAGGGATAGCATCCCATCAGACAGCATTCAGCACTATAAAAGTCTGCATGGTTTATAGAAAAAGAATTAGAAATATATGAGTGTTTGTGCTTTAATAAACAATCCTTATCTAATTTAGAGATATCATTAATGATAACCAGAATTTATTAATCTCGGTTAATGTTAATTTTACATTTGCCAATACACATTAAACATTTCGAGTTGTATGAATTAAAAATGCATTACGAACAAATATGAGTCAAATGCATTTATTCATTTACATGAACCTAGATTCATAAGCACTGTTAAAATGGTTGTTTACTGTTAGTTCATTATACCTAATGCTTTAACGGATGCTATTTTTTAAACATCCTAGCATATATTTAACATTAGCTTACAATCATAATTAATGCATTACTTGATAACTAGCATTTATTAATCTTGGTTAATGTTATTTTACATATACAAATACATTTATAACATTTCAAGTAGTATAAAATTAATCAATTATGAACAAAAAAAGTAACAATATTAATTTACATTAGCCTACATTTATAAATGCTATAAAAATTGTTTTTCATTTTCAGTTCCTGATACCTAATGCATTAACTAATTTGACATGTACTGGTATATTTTTAACATTTATATTCGTATAAATTAAAATTAATGTATTATAAACAAATATAAATTAACCATATTTATTCATTTACATTTAGGACTTTATTTACTTGAACCTTATTATAAAGTCTTGCGCGTTTAGAGAGATGGCAACATTTAGCCATTTTGGGGTCTGTCCTGAGTCTGTCCTGTAAATGCTTGCTTTACCATGTTGATGTTGCTCTCGAGACCACCAAATACATATGCAAAACATAAAAGGTCCAAAGTATTATATGAAAAAAAAAATCAGCTTTCACCTTCCAACATTTCCTTCTGAAGACTTGATTGTCTGTCCTTCAGAGTCCAGATATGGTCATGCTTCCTGTCCACTGACACTCATATAAATGGCCTTATTATCTCCCATTGGGGTGGGGGAGCCTGGTGTGGTCTGGTCCAATGAATCACCAACAAGCTCTCCTTTTTTGGCCGGGCTCCAGCTCTTGTTTTCTCATTAGGTTCCAGTGCCTGTTAATGACAAAGTAACAATAACTCACCTGGATTAAAAGCCTAAATCTGCAGTTGAGTGGCAGCGTGACCAGCTAATGAGGTGCATTTGGGTAAATTGTTGACAGTGCTCTTCACAGAGAAGGAGGGGCTATCTTTAATTTACCAAAGCTATGACAACAGTGGAAAGAGCAAAGTCAAGCAGATGAAGATGAATACACCGGTTGGGTCCCCGGGAACTTCTGCATTAGTGCATGACAACCTAAAATGCTCTTGTCACCAATGAGCATCACATTCGCCTGTGGGCACTTAGTGGGGGAATAAGAAGCCGTCAGGATGACAGATTGCCAAAGACGGGGACTTCTGGGGAAAAAATGAGAAATGAACATTTGGTGGCGGCGACACACGATGGCTGTCAGTTATATGATATGCTCATGTCAATTTAATAATTCTGTCACCGCACTGCAGTGGACAAGAGGGAACGTATGAGAGAAGTCATTAACTTCATATAGGCCTCCATATTCTGTGAACGGTTACGTTAGAGCAATTCTTTGTAGATTTCAAAAACAACTAGTTTAGGCCTAGGTTTGCATGTTTCACATGTCAGTGTTTAGGGCAGAAATGCAGCCCATGGTTTTACTACAGTATTTCCACAGGGATGTGATGTGCCTGAAGATTACTTGACTTCCTGCTTAATTGGTCAGAATCTAATAATCTGCAGACAAGCAGCATATCTCAATTTCTTTTAAATAAAGCGGTGCCATTCTATACAACAATGAACTTAAAATTACATTTTAGTAGCCTATAATTCATTTTTTTTTATAGGTTTTGTTGTTGTTGTTGTTTCACATACTGATGTGCATTTCATTGCATGTATATATTAGCATGTGATTATTAAACAAGCAATATCACAACAAGCAATATCAACTAGATTAATAAAATTACGACAACACATGATTATTCTTTCATGTATATCTGTCAATTATTTTTTTTAACTCTTTAGTCTCAGTTATACAATGGGAGCTAAGTAGTGAAAAAAAAAAAAAAAAAAAGAAAACATTGGCCAATCCCCCAAACACAAATTGTGTTGTAACTGAATATTTCTTTATACTTATTATTAACATCAATTTATGCTGCATAAAAACTAAATGCTGTAAAAACTATACTTGCGTCATGTTACTTCATGCCTTAATTAATTTGAATAAACAACTATATTGTAAAGTGATAATATAGTATCAGTTATTGAAAGGGACCTGTGTTTGGAAAAGAAAAGAAAAGAAAAGAAAAGAAAAGAAAAGAAAAGAAAAGAAAAGAAAAGAAAAGAAAAGAAAAGAAAAGAAAAGAAAAGAAAAGAAAAGGAGAAAAAAACTATACACAAATTGTGTTGTAACTGTCTTTGTCCACCAGATGGCCATAAAGAGTTGATGGGTGCACTGTTTGTATACGTGCTCGTATTACAATCCATTGTCACATCAATATTTCTATAAATTACATATTCATACACTGTTTACGTGGTTTACGAAAAACTCTGGGACCACTATGTAAAGTAAAAAAAAAAAAATTTTTTTAAAGTAAATGTTAAGCAAGTTTACTAAAAAAGTCCAAAACAGCACAACACAACTCACAGTATGATTGTCACTGATTTTGTTTTTATTTGGGCCATGGTTTTACTACAGAAACCATACTGATAAAACGCATTTGTGAACTGCGTATTTTTTAATTATGATAAAAAGCAGCAACTTACCTGGCGTTTCAAACACACCTGACCGTTTCCATAAACTCTCGAGGCCTTTCCAAAGCGCCGCTCAAGCGGTGAAGTTGGGCGATACCATCTCTGCAGTGAGATAAAGGGTGACATCAACTCAGAAGAGGCTAATGGGGCGATACCATCACACGAGGAGAGAGGGGTGTCCTATTCGCTGTAACAAATCATCACACACGGCTCGCGGCATCTCCACAGCAGGGCTGATTGACTGATCGTGCTCAGCGTAGGCGGCTGAATCGCGCATCTCGGAGAAATGTACATGAACAGCCCGATTCCAGTCAGCTCCCCCTTGAATATCTGAGTGCTTTCCTAGCGAATTAAAGGTAAGTTCGTGCTTGCATTTAGTGTTTCGCTTATTGCATGACCTGATCTGTAGTATGTTAAATAGAAACATATAGGAAAGACTGTTGTTGCCATCCTACTGATTCCAGCACCCTATGAAAATAATCGCTAAATACACTTTTTTGAGTATGACTGTAAAAGTAATCCCTGTAACACAACTTTCAAACTTATAACTAATGCAACTTTTTGATTAAGAAATGAAATAAAGTCAACATCTCATTCATTTAAATTATTACCTATGAAATGCAAAGAGAAAACAACTACATTATTTTACCACCTATGGTGTAATTATTAGGCAGCGTAAATGTTTTGAACAGTTAATATCCATACTGTCATTGATCTGCAGTAGAGTATTTTATTATATGTTTTATTCTGTTCATCAGGACAATATATTGCATGCTGACAGTGCTGACCTGTTGCACACTAGTTTCATTCCCAGTAGAGTTTCACACTGTCCATAATGTGAGTTTATGTCTGACAGCAGGGCTCCTTCTAACTTAAAAAAAAAAAAATTATATAATGAAAACATTAATGATAATCTACATACAATATTTTGTATTGCATTATTTTCAGTGTCTAATACAATTAAAAATAACTGCTGAAGGAATTGGGTATTTCTTCCTATACTTATCCCATTTAGAAGAAGTATGCTCCGTTCATATTGTGAAAGAGTATGAATGTTTTGTTGGGCTTCCCTCCATTTCAAACTGTAGACAAAACAAACATTTTATCTCTTCTCTTCTCTCAAGGACAAACATGGCTGCTCGCTGCAATGAGTTTCCTAAAAATATGGCTGTAAAAGCATTACCATTTGCTTTACAATTCAATATTCAACATATATTAAAAAAAAGTATTGTGCACTTCAAAAAACATTTAGACACTAGAACAATTTTTTACAGCAATACTGAGAATTTTGCCTCATGTCATTGTGTGCATTCGCAAATAAATTAACTAAAATCCAAGCGGCCAAAGGGCTTCAGTCTTAGACTACTAACAATATTTATGAGGGAAAATCAACACTTATATGCAGTAAAGTTTGAGAGCTGAAGCCGCAAATCAAGTGTTCTTACATTAGGAAAAAAGTACTATGTCACTCCCTCACATTTGTCTGATCAGTCTTACCTATTGCATTTAAATGATCTTTCAATAATTATGCAGTTGTATTGAGCTTTTTGCTTATTTATTCAAGTAGATTATATAGCATGTCTACATTAGCTAGCCTGTTTGTTTGGTAGTTTTGCTTCATTTAATATACTATTTTTAGTGTATTGTATTTTTAGTAGAAAGTTACTTTTAAAAGTAGCCTAATGCATTACAATATTGCGTTACTCCCATAGACTGTATAGGTTACTCCCTAAAAAAGTAACAAATTGCGTTACTTAGTTACTTTTTATGGAAAGTAATGTGTTGCGCTACTTTTGCATTTCTTTTTCTCATCTGGGCTGGGCTCATTTTTCTCTTTTCAGCAATAAAAAAAGGAAACACAAATGTTTTGTTTATCTAAAGTCATTTTTGCTTATTATGGTTGAATTGGATCATTGAAGGTCAGCAGCAAAGACACTAAATGAGATTAAATGCATAAAGGATATTTGTGTTATTTAACATATTTAATTATTGCAGGTTTGCATCATATTCTGAGTTGGCATTTCACTGTGAGGAGTACTGAATCGGTTTTTGTGCAAGTGTGATGAGTAAATGCATGTTCACATTAAGTCTAGAACTACAGTAACATCATGTTTACACAGCGCACACGACACCTCCGCACTTACTCCCGATTTCTCTCAATATGAGTACAGGAGAGCTCTCAGTCAATACATGGGAAAACAAAGTAACTGGCATTACTTAGGCCTATTTGAAAAAGTAACTCTTGTACAAATTCTTGTAATTTAAAAAGTAATGTGTTACTTTACTAGTTACTTGAAAAAAAGTAATCTGATTACGTAACTCATGTTACTTGTAACGCGTTACCCCCAACTCTGGTATTGTCATTATTATTTTACAGATAATTCTATGATTTACAAAGCTTTCTTATACTTGATTGGGAAATCGATTCAGTGTCATGTTGAGCCTGTTTCTAGTTTTTCACAAAAACCAACCTGATAACATGAAAAAGCATAACAACTTTACAAGATGATGATTTTGTATGAATTTTGTATGAAAGCATGAATGTCCACCCCTAATCTGTCAGTGGGGTGTAATCATACAAAAACATACTAATGAGATCCTACACATACATTCCAATTGGCCACCATTTCGCCAAAACATAAAAAAGTTATGAATTACCATGAGAGTGTGTTTCAAAAGCCACTCTAGAACCATTGGGAAGAAAACAACCTCAGCCATTTGGACGGAGAAGCCTTTATTCCTCACAAGCCCTGTCACAAGAAAACAAAAGCCTTTTCAGACTCCAAAAGTCTAAACTATCTGTCAGACTGAGTTAGTAATTATAGAAATTGGTAACAAGAGCCTCAGGTGTTGATCTGAACAAAAGGCATCTTGAAACTTCAGCTGTCAAGAGATGACATATATCTGTTATTAAGACACCGGACAGCTTAGTTTTTGGCGAGAACAGCTGGTGTTTGGACTGTGTGAAGCAATGTTCACAACATTCAGGGCCAGAGGGATATTTTCTGCACATATCACATTAGACACTGTAGAACTGGTGGAAGTGTAGCTGTAATTATAGCTTATTTAGGACAGGTGGTCTGTGACCCTGTGAATGTGACACCTAGTCCATCACTATGTGATCATGCTTTGAGATATTACTTAGTATCTTCATTTTTATTCACTAATATATGCTTCTTTCTGCTAAAAATGAACAAATTATTCCCGCAGTAGCCTTAAGATTAGACAAAAAGACCTGTCTGAATGCAACTGGCCATCCTTGAAATGTGATCTCTCGCAGGGGTCAAAGGTTAAAGGTGATGAGAAGAATGGAGCGGTGCTGTTTGACTGCCCCTGTCAGCCTCTTAGTGTCCATTGAGCCTCTGGTTGGACCATGCCTGAGCACATCAAAGCACTGCCCAAACATTGTTTGCCAGCCCTGACCTTTGGCCTGTTGCTATGTGGTGGGCTTCACGTAGAAGTGTGTGTGTGTGTGTGTGTGTGTTCATGCCGGTAGAGAGAGGCAGAGGCGAAGCAGAGACCTGCTGTGTCACTCACTCCCTGCTCAACAATAATGTTTTCCTCTCGCTGTTTCCAGCTCTTCTACCGGTCGTCTGCTCGGTTTTATTGTATATGTGGAGCATGGAATGACCCCAGCCCCCACTTACACATACAACTCCCAAGGCTAAAAGTCTTTAAAGCCGCCCACCCACTTCTACCATCCTCTTTAGAGAAGGAGAACGTAGCACTTTCTTTCTGTTTCAGATCTTCGGGTACCCATTTTTAGAGATACAGAGAGTTTGTCCACTTGTCACTAATGTGGTTTGCATTACTGTATTTTTTTGTGTATCTCCTCACCTAGTTGAACTGCAATTTTCTGAAAGAAACATTTGTTAGAAAAACAAATAGAAATTGTTAGAAAAATGAAATTTTAGACCTTTATGAAAAATTTAAAACGTAAGAATATTTTCTGCAAAAATACCATAATTAGTTATAGTTAAAATTTGATAAAATAGTAAATAAAATTGTATATACCATTCAAAAGTTTGGCATCAGTAAGATTTTTTTAATTAGTATTTGAAAGAAGTCTCTTATGCTCGCATTAATTTGATCAAAACTATAGTAATATTGTGTACAGTAATAGTAATATTGTAATAATAACAGTAATATTGTGAGATCTTATTACAATTTTAAATAACGGCTTTCTGTTTTAATATATTTTAAATTGTAATTTATTCCTGTGTTGGCAAAGCGAATTTTCTCTAGTCTTTAGTGTCAAATGTTCCTTCAGAAATCATTCTAATATGCTGATTTGGTGCTCAAGAAACATTATTATTATTATTATCAATGTTGAAAACAGTTGTGCTGCTTAATATTTCTGTGAACTCTGTGATACATTGTTTTCAGGATCTTTGATGAATAGAAAGTTCAAAAGAACAGCGTTTCTTTTAAATAGAAATCTTTTACAACATTCTGAAAATTTTTACTGTCACTTTTTGATGTCCAGTGGTTGACTTTTGTTAGGTCAGTAACCCTATTGGTGTTTGGTGGGCCAGTGTGAACCAGCTTTAACGTGAAATTGAGGGGACAAATGGGTCTCAGCTGTGATATTTTGTAGCTAATTCTTCATCATTTGAAGTGTAGTGTAAAGAGTGTCAGAAAGATGTGTAAGTCAGACAGACAGACAGAGAGAGAGAGAGAGATGGGTTTGTCTGTAAGAGAGAAGGTTATAAACGGAGACACAATAGTTGGGTGATGTTATCCCGCGGGGGAGTCCGGGAAAGATGAAAGACCTTGTCATCTCCCTGTAAGGAAGCTCTGTCTGGGAGGATGGGGCTGTTGAACGTCCTCGCTGCTATCACGTCTTGCTCTTTTATCTCCTCGACTATCTGCAGAGCCTGTCTGCATTAGCATTTGTTTATTTAACTGCAGTTTTCTCCCCCTCAGCACAAAATGCTAATGTTTTTTGGTGATGGCAAGGCTCCTGACTAGCTCCAAATGTCAAAAAGATTGGTGTTTTGCCATGAGATCCTAGATTCTGGGTAGCAATATTATGAGAGCATGTGAATTTCACTTTCTGGTTATAAAAGTTTTATTGGTGGTACTGGCTGATGTTTATATGACATGTTGCTGGTCTTCTTCATTGTTTTAGGGTGTTACTGTGTTGTGAATTCCCAGTGTGTGGGATGAGTGTTGGGGCTGAGA